CGGCCACCGGTGTCCCCAACTGCCATCTCTGGCTCAAGTGCCCCTGCAGCCGCCTTGCCGAGACTAGACCCACCCTGCTCCTTCCCGAACGCGTGGTGCCGGGCGGCAGGGTGCGGGGTAGGATGTGCCCTGGGAAGCTGCTGAAAGGGCTGAGGAGATGGTGGATGCCTAGGTGTTGGGGTCAGGGGTTGCCTGGGAATGCCCCTAGGTATTGGGTGCAGGGTGCTGGGGAGGTATGGTCTGGAGCGCTGGGGTGCTGGGTGCTTGAGGATGGGGGAAATGCCTAGGTTGGGAGTGCCAGGTGCTGGGTGGATGGTGCTGGGAAGCTGCCTGGGTGCTGGGGTGCTGAAGGAATGGTGGATGCCTAGGTGGTGGTGCAAGGGTGCTTGGGGTAGGATGGTGCCTGGAAGCTGCCTGGGGTGCTGGGTGCTGAGGATGGTGGGAGCTAGGTGTTGGGTGCAGGGTGCCTTGATGGTATGGGCCTGGAGCTGCCTGGGGTGCTTGAGGAATGGTGGGATGCCCCTAAAGGTGTTTTGGGTCCAGGGGTGCTGGGAAATGGTATGGGTGCTGGAGCTTCTGGGGGTTGCTTGAAGATGTGGGATGCTTTAGGTGTGGGTGCAGGGTGCGGGACAAGGGTTATTGGTGGCTGGGAAGCTGCCCTGCGTGCTTGAGGAGGTGGATGCTAAGGTGTTTGGGGGTGCAGGGTGCTGGATGGTATGGGCTGGAGCTGCCTGGGGGTCCGGCTGATGGGCAGCGGGGTGGTTCCTGCACCGAAACTGGCAGGACAAGCCAACAGGGAGAGAACTGACCTTACCCGAGTGGTGCAGACCGAACCCGGCCACAGCCTGCTCACTTGGCCACCCCTGGCTGTGCGACCAGGGCCAGCGGGAGCTGGTGTCCCCCACCGCAGCCTCTCGGTCCAGTTTCTGTGGGCGGCACCCCGGTGTCCCAACTGCCATCTCTGGCCTCAGTGCCCTGCAGCCTGCGTTTGCGGAGCAGACCCACCTGCTTCCCATCACGTGTGCCGGGCTGCAGGGTGCTGGGGTAGGATGGTGCTGGAGTTGCTGGGGTGCTGGGTGCTGGGATGGTATGGTGCTGGAGCTGCTGGGGTGCTGAGGATGGTGGGATGCTAGGTGTTGGGGTGCAGGGTGCTGGGGTAGGATGGTGCTGGAGCTGCTGGGGTGCTGGGTGCTGAGGATGGTGGGATGCTAGGTGTTGGGGTGCAGGGTGCTGGGATGGTATGGTGCTGGAGCTGCTGGGGTGCTGGAAGAGTGGGTGCTGCGACTGCCGGGTGCTGGGGTGTAGGGTACTAGGTGCACGGTGCTGGGGCACTGGGTACCAGGTACTGGGTGCTGGGATGCTGAGTGCTGGGCTAGTTGGCCTGAGCCAGCTTGGAGGAGGGTCTGAGTGTGGACAAGTCAGGGAGAAACGGGGACATGTGGCTCTATAGGTGGATGAGGTTCCTGCCCCCATCTCTGCGACACTTGACACTAGCCAGGGCCTCCCCCAAGGTATGTGCACACTTCTGAGTCCCACCTGTCCAGCACACATACATACCTACACACACATGCATACATGTGTTCACATGCACACATACCTGCACACACATGCTCGCATGGGCCTCTGGGCCTCATGGACCTGTCTCTGCAGTCTCTTAGGACAGAGGCTCAGATCTTCGGCATCTTCTCCTTGGATGACTGGCCTGTCCCAGGAATGTCCTGCTCGTGGCAGGCAGGACAGACCAGAAGGTCCCAGAAACGAGCAGCCAGGAGGCCTCAGACTTGGGAAGGAGGTCCCAGCCCCGACTTGCTCCCTAGAGCCGCCCAACTGGCCCACCCACAGACCCCTGACCCAGGGGCCCCCAGCATGGCCTATGGGCCCCTCAAGGCCAGGGTCTCCCCCAAGAAGCCTCCTGGGTCCCCAAACCACAACCTGAGGCTCCACTGGAAGCTGAGGGACAGGGGGCTGCCCTCGTCTGTAAGCGCCCAGCTCCTCAGCGGCAGGAAGGGAGCGTGGACTGCGCAGCACGCAGAGCCCATGAACGTCAACCAGGGAAGGGGTCCTGAGGGCATTCTGACTTGGGGGTGCAGGGGGAGCCGAGGTCTTGCATTCCCAGTGGGTGCACACTGCCCGGTGGAACTCGGCCTGCTACCCCAGTGGGGACGTTCTTCCTGGCTGCCTTCCTGCCCGCTCCCCACCTGCCCTCCCCAAGGGTCTCCTGGGCAGCCGGCTCAGGTCAGCACCAGCACACGGCTCTGAGACCCCCGGGCCGTGTCTGGGAGCATCTGGGGCCAGACAGGGCCTGGGGACCAGGCTCAGAACCCCCGAGGTCTGGAGGACTGAGGCTGCAACCTCCTCCCCATGGGGCAGGGCCAGGGAGGGCTCAGGCCACCCTGGTGACCCTACAGAGGGTCACCCTCTGGCTAGTCCTGGAGAGTGGCCCAAAGGGCTCGTGTCCCTGGGGCCCAGCTAGCCCTGGGGGCAGAGGACGCCACAACCTGGGAGCTCCTGCCCGCCCTCCCACCCTGGTCCCGCAGCCATGCTTCCAGGGGCTATTGAGCTCCACGGTCAGGGTGTTTATTCTAGAAAAGGTGACAAACGCTGCTCAGCCACGGGGGCAGTGGTGGCAGGAGCAGGTCACAGTGAGGACTGGGGGACACGGCCCCTTCTCAGCGTGGAGACCTGGGCACTGGCAGCCCGTGGGCCAGTGAGGGTGGGGCCCCTGGTGTGGGGGAGGCTGAGGGCCCCACGGGGTGCCACAGCTGGGGGCAGCGGTGTCTGAGCACCGCCAGCCCCCGTCCCCGGGCAGGAAGGTGAGTGCCACAGGGGCTCTGTCCTGGAGGAGCAGCAGGCTGGCCTCACAGCAGGCGGTCCGGCAGGCCTGGCGGCGGCCTCGGTGCCAAGAACGGGCTGGCGTGGGGGACGGGGGAGGGCACGCCCACGGCCTCAGAAGCCCTTCTCGATGCTCAGGGTGCGGCGGGTGACGTGCTCCAGCTCCCCGGACACGTAGTCGGCCAGGCTGATGCGGTAGTGCGCCAGCATCTTCAGCATGAGCCGCAGGCTCAGCCACCACTGCTCCCGCGGCATGCGGTGCCTGCGCGTGGGGCCGGGGTCGGGGTCAGGCAGCTCCTGGGGCCACGTCCCAGCCTGCGTGCCCTCCCTCCCGGCACGTGGCACAGAGGAGGGGACGGGCGCACCCGCCCGCCGATGTGACCAGTCCCGCCTGCCCTGCCTCCAAAACGCACACTGCCCGGTGTCGGTGCCTAGGACTTGGCCCAGACCCCTGCCCTCCACACCCTGGCGCAGACTCTGGGTGTGGGGGACGGGGTGCCGCATGGGGTCGGGGTTTGCGTAGGACCTGGCCCCTGCCTCTGCCCCAGCCCCTCAACCTCCAGCCCTCCAAGCGACTTTGGTGGGACTTACTCGAAGTCGGTGTCCTTCTTGAGCTCGGTGACGGGGCTGAAGGCCACGGCCTTCTTCTGCAGGCCGATCACACAGGCTGAGTCGGGGGAGTTGGCGAACACCCGCCCTGGGGACACAGGCACGTGCTGGCTCCCGAGCGGCCCCACCCCAGGGCCCCCGGAGGGCACAGCGGGGCCTGGGCCG